CTCTCGATCTCCAACAAGCTGAATTCTACCCACTGAACGAGAATCAGCATGAACTGTAGAGTGACAGGAAATATGATGGCAATGATAGTATATTTCCAGCCGTATTTACTGATCCAATCACGAGAATTCCTATTCACTCAATCATCTAAATGAAATTTGTTTTGCGAATACTCGATCATGCTTGTTCAACTATATAAGCTGATTCCAGCCAGAATTGATTGGCCATCGAATTTCTTGTGGCATGTCGATAAGAATTTGTTTCAGTAACAGTCGATGGCTATCAAGGTGGTTACGTTCCACCACAACGACTTCCGCCAATTCGTCTTCAATCAAACAATACCGCAACACCGATGCAGAATACAGACACCGTTCCAATTCATAATAATATTCAACAGGATGAATTATTTGGCATACGTATTGCTGGTATTAAGGGTGTACCTGTGATCGAAATACCCAAAAATGAACAACGCCACCTACCTACACCAACGCAACTCTCTGAAGACTTGAAATATCCATAATTGCAATGACCAAACAGTCCTAGTTTGATCTGTGATCCGTTTGAATATTCTTCGTTATTATTGTTACCACAGTGTATCAAATATAGGAAAGGGCCGAGTGAATGTGTTGAGATCAATGGGAACGGGGACTTCGGAGGGCGGATAAGAGTTGAAGTCTCATAGAAACTATTTTCGTTGTTTTCGATAAATTCTCAGAAGAAGCTGAGGAACGGCTTCAACAGAAGCCATGCCTCAGCTTCTTCAAAGACTTCTAATAAAACGAGATTCAACCTGGTTGTTTCCGTCGGTAGGAGAAAAATTTGCTACATCGTTTTGTTCATTGTTTAGTTTTGTTAGATAAACAACGGGTCGTGCTGGCCACTTGTACAGTACACATCATGAATACTTTATTATTTCTAGTTTCATTAAAAATTTATTCTCTGTTGTCAGTTATTAACGTGTGACAAAACACTTCATTATCATTTTGTTCATTTCAATTAAAATGTGGAATCCTCCAGTGTTTGGATTCTACCGTGAAATTCTATTATGAATTTTGGAATACGGATTTCCATTAATATGGAATCGAATTCAAATACGAAACGTAGAGAACCCAACATTTTATTAAGAATGAGATCAAACGCTTGCTGGCAAGATTCAATAAGAATCCAATCAAGAATTAATTTCCGAAAGAGGCCACTGACCTCACAAACACTATAACGACTGTCACTGATTCAGTCTTCTCACTAAGCTGATCGCTGTCAGACTGTCTTTGATTCGGCTACGATGTTTCTTCATCTTTTTCGCAAAATTTACATTTAATTTAGTTGTAATTTCCAAATTGGAGGAAAGTCCCGCAGTCGGTCCTCTTCATTGTACACTACTGTATCGTTCGTCATGATCTCTCACTATTGGTTGGGACGGTTTCAAACAAACATATATTGTCATTAGGGTTTTTCAGCGGAGCCCAATGCTCTAGCAACAGTGGTTCTCATGGTTTCACGCTCCGTGCTGCCTTCTGGTCTTACGGAGAACCATCTCCCCTCTCCGTGGTAGCGCTTCCCCCTCCTTTGACAGTCCGTTAGGTAAATTTTGTTGTTAGCGGAAAATGAGAAGAAACTCAACGAATTGATCTACTGAACGAGAATATCGCATCAAAAATTCGTTCATATCATCAAAAGTTCAGTTTATTTGTCATCAGTGCGACACATTATTGATGAGACACATGATCTGCTGGAATTTCAATAAATCCATACTTGATGAGTGATTGCTTTCAGTTGACATTATGAATGCTTATTGAACGATGACAATTGATCACGTTATGAACGAAGTGTTGGTGACAATGACAAAATAATCAGTTGCGAGTATTTTGAAAGATAGAGGAAGAATGTTGTGGTGGTAAGAAAGAGCAGTTAATCCTCTACATCCCTCTGATCAGCATTGAACATCCTTCACCGCATCCATTACAGATCGCAGCAACACCCAATTCGCCCGGTTTCAGCGATCGAATCAGTGAATTAAGAATACGACCACCGTTCGTACTAAAAGTAAATCGCATACGATAGTATTATGTACTTGAGAAAGTGGTTGCGATGCAACGAAAACGTATGTGATCATTTTCGTGGCAACCATATACTTCAAGTGATATTTGTTTCCATTTGAATGTGAAAATGTCAGGCATTTATTCTAAAAGGAAATGAAATCTTTGAAAGCCAGGGAATAATACATACGCTAGTGGATGTCCAAAAGCAACAGCACCGCCCTTGATGTTAATATTCTTGGGCCCAATGTCGAAGAATTTCATGAACGCAA